AAAGGTAGTTGAGGCCTATAGTACCCGAAGCAGAGGACTATCACTTGGATCGGGAGGAGTTACAAAGTTACTAAGCCACTGGTAGTTGGGTAGGTAGTGTGACTAACACTATAAATTTGTTTTACGTTATTTCCGTCATTGCCTGTAGATGGTGATGTCTAGATTAGTGGCTCTAAGTTCGGGCCTAAGTGGACATAAAAGATTGAGTCCGAATAAATTAGAAGTGTATAAGAGAGTTGGTTCTAAGAATCCCGTCCCATATAGTACCGACTTTAGTCATAAGATTTAAGAAGAAGGTAATCAAGGTGATTGTCCTGGAGAAACAGGAAGGATCGAGTGTATCCAAAAACCGTTGTTGTTACTAATAGTTCAACTAGGTTAGTAATACCCACTTATACCATTTAGATATACGTGTTCATTATTGCGTTTCTAGACAACGTTGTGCTTGTCAAAATCATATTCGATTTTTGGTTGTGTTATATGAGAAGATCGACAGCTATCAGCATAAGAAGTGATGCTACGTCAGGAAGGTCAAAGTCATTATATATGACAATCAGAGTTCCTTCAAAGTAAAAAAAAGTTACAAATCACGCAGGCAAGGCCAGTTTGGACTTTGGTCAGTTACGGGTAGCAGCAGACAATGAGTCGAACCCAAGTGAGGAGAACCGACCCTTAAGGTAAAAGTGCAAAAGTTAGTTCGACTTTTGGTTTCAACGTCAAAATGTAGGAGAGGTGCAGCACAAGTAGTTGGAGGTTGATAGTCTCGGTTACGTTATGTGGAAAAAAGAAGAAGGAAATATTCTACTAGAATACTCATAGGCTATAAGTTTCTAGGAGTACTTCTCAAGTAAATGTTGACCTTTCCTCCCAAGCGTCTGGTAGGATTTAGGAACTACCAAATTCTCGAGTGCGACCCAGATAGCCAAAATAACAATATAGGTTCATTCCTTCAAGGATGTAGGATTTATCTTCGCAACATAAGAGTTGTAAGATAAGGAATTCAGTAGGTCGCGTAGTTCGCCATAGAAAGCATCGCGCACTCAAGACATATACCAGACTTAGAAATTTTGGTTAAAACCATAGTATGGATTCAATTATCTCGTGCCAAGGAATTGAAGTGGTAGGATCAATGTCAAAGGAGAGAGAGTTTCTGTCGTACGACCGTTTCAAGTCGTCGTCTGAGGCACGCATAGATAAAATAAGGGACGTCTAGAAGGAGATCATTTGGGATGGACTATGTCCATTAACAGAGGCATTAATACCTTTCAAGGGATTGCGGATGTATCAGCAACATATGTGATAGGATTGGTGGATCAAAATTTTGATCCAGGTTCGACTAGACAGTCTTCTTGTTATCGGTAGTAGTTGAAATTAACTAAGAGTCCCTAGCGTAAACTGGAAAGAGTTCAATTTTAGGAGTGACTCATTGTTAAAACTTGCATGAGTAGTTGTGGTTACTATATATTCATCTATGGAGACGCCTCGTCAATTATGATGTTGTATTAATAAAAGATCGACCTACAAAGAAAAGATCTAAGGATTTTCTCTGAGATTTAGAAATTGCAGTAAGACGATAGGATATTGTCAGGGAGTTTTTCAAGCTTTTAGGGTAGAATGTTTCGATTGGTGTTTAACACAAAAGGATAGTAAGCGACTTGTGTAAATTTCTTAGATAGGCTCGTTCAGTTAAGGGTCACGTTAGGTAGATTGTCGAGTGCAACTTTATATGCATCAATATCATTTTAGGCTTTAGGATATACTACGTGTTTGGTATAGTTATTCCTTTTTCCGATAAGCATAAGAGTTATACTTTAGCATTCAGATTAAGGACCTCATATCGGTTGTAGCCTCAAAAGTTTAAATAACGAATATTTGTTGTGATAAGTAGATATTAAGGAAGTATGATGAATGGGTTCTTTCAGGACAGTGTGATAATGACTGTGAGTCTTCAAGACCACCGAAGGGTTGATTGTGAGTCTTCAGGCCCAATAGGAACAATGACAAGAGATATCTGACATCGTAATCCCAATAGTTGAATAGTATCATGACGTGTCGTGAGTAAGCATATGAACAAATTTCTCGAGCGGTAGTTATACCTTGATACATATAAAGTAGTTAAAGCCTTTCGATAAGGCTATTGGTGATTTGTTGTTCATTATAACCTAATAGGTTGAAATATGAGAAAGCCTTATAATGATTCCGTCACCAGTACTAGAGTATTGGTTCCAGAGTTTTCGAACCAGTAAACACGTTACAGTAGTTTTAAGTAAGTTTCAGGATGTTAGAACACCTGAACTAGGTAGAGAAAACCGCTTGCAAATCTAGGTTTGTGTGTGTTTTAAGGGTGTATTGTAGAAAGTTGTCATAAGACACAAAGTTAGAGCGATATACCATAAGCATTTTATAGAGGCATGTTCAGGAAAGTGGATTTTGTTAGGATGTCATAGATAAATTTCCCTAGTTTCTTCATAACGAGTCGACAAATGTTCCTAGTTATTGGAACAAATTGACATTTTTCGTCTAAAGGCGATCATCCTTCATAGAGTATAAATTATGGAAGTCTAGACCGACGAATTTACGGTTTTAGAAAACCTCGCGAGGAGTTCGAAATTACGTCCAATGTAGAAACCGAAGTTATACGGGAAATATCGATGCAACAATGTCGTCTAGATCACGAGTTGATATCGATAACTCCAATAAGATGACATCTAGGTACGCTAGGAGTAGGATTTTAAGGATGGAATCTTTGTAAGTGGGGGAGAGCTGTAACACCTCGTTTTCACTCTACAGTAGAATTTAATATAACCGTTTGTTTATAAAATTATAAGTATAAATATATTGATTTTAGCCAAAATAATCATCATAAACATGTAGTAGACGTCAATACGATTTTCGTAGATATAAAGAACGCTTAAATTGACTTCATATGAAGAAAGTTATGATTTTTCGAAGTTTCACGTTCAACCCTATACACAAAAACATGTCGGAAAAAGTGAATCAGAGATATGTTGCTTATTAGCCTAAGTAATCTAAACAAAAGTCGTAGTAATTGGAAAAGCGAAGGCATGCATATAAAGAATGCCTAAGTCTGACTTCGTAAGAGGAAGTTATGATTTTTTCGAAGTTTTAGTGCAACAGTGTGCGACACAAAAATCGTAATATAAATCGGTTGAGTGTTAGCAAAAACAATGTACACAATAGTTAAAAATCTCGTAAATACCAATCTTCGATATAAAGAACATCGATAATAGAGTTTGTGTGTAAGAATTATGAATTTTACACGATCTTTTGCAGTGTAATATTCATAGACTGTTAAATTTAAAATAGGATGAGCTTAGTCGACGGAGTCTAAATGAGAGTTGTAGTATGCTTCGATAGCTACACATGGATATAAAGAACGTCAAAAACGGAGCCCGTATGCGAAAAATGTGATCTTTTGAAGATTCGTAATTTTACCCGACTAGAGCGACGCATCACCAGCCATATCGTGGCACGTGTCATTTACAGAGTCGTATCTCCTACTTATCCATAGGCACGACGCGCCATGGGTTGGTTACGCAGTGCGCCCAACATGTAGAGTGCATATAAATAGCAGGTCAGCCTTCATTCTTCTTCACATTCAGTTGTCTCTAAAACTTCTCTCATTAGTCACGATTTTAGAAGCTTTCTTCAAGGTTCCGGAGAATCTTACTTTAGCGAGACTATGAGGTATCTAGGAGCCCGATGAATACAAGCTTTCGGGTCAAAGTTATGCCCGCACAGATCCCAACTTTTCGCTATAAATTTTTGTAAGTTAAGTTGCACTTACTACGATTTAAGTGCAACTTAAATTTATATTCACAGTCGTTTTTATGAATCTATAAATAAGATTTATCAGTAATTCCAATCGTAATATTGACTTATTTACTTACAAAAATGATGTCTAGGCTAGATTTAGTAAGGTGTTTAAGTGATATTTCCATACAGTATACTTCGTATACGAAAATAGACCATACCTCTGATATGATCTTACATGGTTGTTCCTTATTTGTTAGATCTCGATTTATTCATTGAGATTGTTGATGAATCCGGGAAATAGTATAAATACAAACGAATATTGAAGCACAATAGTATTTGTACTTATGTTGATTAAAAGGGATAAGCTGAAGCATAAGCCCAGAAGCTAGTTTCTCGACGATCTTCCACCTCGATCAAGTGAGTTATCTCACTATACTATGTATTACGGTGTGTGTTTATATATATATATATATATATATATATATATATATATATATATATATATATATATAGTCTGTAGGTGCTTAATGTTTATGTGCTTAAAGCTAGTATTGTAGAAAGTATAATTCCTATGTGTATTTACTAGTAGAGCCAAAAGTATAAGCTTCTATGTAATTTGGTATTTTTATATGGAGCAAAGACCTACAACGCAATATTCAAAAACCACAGTGATAGTGATGCAACCTATCAATTTTTAAACTTAGGGACTAAAATTGTGAATTCAATCAAACCATATGGACCATTTATGTAATTTACTCTTTATTAATCTTGTACGTTACTTTAAATTTTGAAAATTTATTTTTTTTCTTGAATTTATAAACAATATATTAAATCAAACATGTTTTCAAAAAAAAATCATAGAAGATTTTTATGAAAAATAAGGTATTTTTCCACTGCTAAACGTTCATTTAATCGATTTTCAAATAGCAAAAATAATTATTAGAAAATAACATACATTTGATTTTTAGTTAACAGAGTATTGAAAATTTTATAACCTATTATGTAAATTTGAAAAACTAAATATCAAAATTTCATGTAACTGAATTTTGTTATAATCTGATTAACACCCTACGACTAAGTTAATTTAATCAACAACTAACAAGTGAAAAACTAAAGATCGAAATTTCGGGTAACTCAATTTTGTTATAATTCAATTAATACCAGTATTAAGTTAATTTCGTTATGGATCACTTTAACAAATAACAGGTAACAAGTATAATAGAATGAATGAATTTCTTATTGCTCATTGTGAATCCCTGGTATTGCAAGGTTTGGAGGAGATGAAGGTGATGATACTAAGCATACTCTTTTGGAACTGAGTTGCATACATATGACATGATCAACCATTAATTAAAACTCTCAAGGTTTGACTTGAAACATCTCTATGGTACACCAAAATGTTATCCGGTAACCCACCAAGGTGTTGGTTTTAATTAAGAAAATATGCATAAAATATTTAAAAAGATGAAAAAGGACAAATTTAGCCAATTTCTTAGTTACTTTCCTAGAAGTAACCAAAAATTAAGAAAATGATGTTTTTAGCCAATGAAATTACATACGGCAAAGGCAATGGCTTGCGTGTGATTTCTTCATGGGCTATAATTTCTTGTGGCCCAACATATATTGGTTGGACATCAACAATATCTCATTTCCACCGGTACAAACGGCCTGTAACTCATAGTTTTTTAGTGTAATCTCTAAATATTATTAAAAGAGAACCTTTAATTCACCCATGAAACAATCAGGATCCTTGATTGGAATTCAATTATAAGCTATCTACCCTTTGATCTGTTTGATGACGTCACATTGATCAAAATATAGACGCGTAACTCACAGTCGTACATCTACATGTTAAAAACCCTAATCTCCTCTGCACACCATCAACCGTCGTCAAACCACATCTCCTATGTCTCTTCTTTTTCTCTCTTAAGTCTCTGGCAGCTGTTTGTTACCACCACCCTCCGTACGTCGCCTTTACAACTTATAAGAAGGTAACCTACCATCGCTTCCCCATTACCCCTCACGTGCTTACCTAAAACTTCTTCCCTCTCAACAGTATGATCGACTCCCTGTAAAAACCTAGCCGGAAACAATGTGATTACGGATTTAGAGCGCTCTGATTGGCTTGGACAAAAGGTTATAATTTTCTCCTCTTTGAGTTGATTTTCCTGCTGAAAATTAAATCCGAAGAATGCTTACTCATCTTCAAAATCATTTATGATTGTATGGATGATTGTAGCGTATTACAAAACCATCTCCCCAATCGTAACTTGGAATCCTCCTGAAACCCGATCGGGTAATCTCTTCAACTGGATTTACCATGCTTTTATTTCTTTAATCGATTAACCCCTTTGGGCTCAAAGGAACCCCTGATTTTGGCGTGAGTGGAAATTTGCAGCTCCGCTCACCACCCATTCAATGAAATGCCTCAGAGGTTGTTTCTGTTTGATTTTGCCTCTGTCATGAAAAGATATAGTAGGTTGTTTGGTCTATCCCCATCTTATTCCTACCACCATTCAATTGCACTTTTGTGTCTTTTTGTTTTAGCCTATGGATGCAATAAATGTGTGGGGTGCTATTACTAAAAATTCAACCCAAAAACCAAACCAGCTCAAAATTTTCCTTCTTTAAAAACTATAAATACCATTTGTGATGTGATTTATATGTGTAGGAGGAACTCCGTGTTAAATATGATGAAGATGTTGGTGCGAGTTTGCAGACATATTCTACTTTAATATGTGACATGGAAAGAAGAGGTTGAGAGGTTAGGTGATTATGTCTAACATTGTACAATAATAAATATGTAAGGAAGTGCAGGCTTGCATGCTTATGGAGGTAAATCATATTTATAAGTTTGTAGCTTATTTAGTATTGTTACCAATCTTGACTTTGGCCTTTATCATTATATAAATATCAAATATATAAGGGACTATTAGCAAATCGACTGAAATAAACACTCTAATTGTATATGTGTTCAACTTCATTAAACAAATTTGAAATCCCAATAATCATATTGGGTAAAAGTCACTTCGATTTATTGGATTCACACACCATAAAACTTGTGAAATTAGTTTGTTACCTATAAAGAAGCGGAGTTTGTTTCTTCATCAAACACTTAAGTGTTCTTTAAGTAGGTTTACTTTGAACTTTTATGTGTGAACTTGCAAAGAACACATTCTGAAAGACACCTGTTTCATTACAAATGACATTTTACTAAAACTCAAAGAAAGAAAACTCATTAAAAATCTATGAATTCTACAGCCATCTCTTTCAGGTTCATTTCCATCTTCGCTATGGCATTCAAAACTCAGATTGAACACCACTAAAAGGGATCCATTATTTCCTTGTGTAAAGTGTTAAAAAATAGATGATGAGAAAGAGAAACCATCTTTTGAGAAACTATATGTTGAGAGGGCCCATATCATAGTTACAAAGACTCAATATTTGGGCAGGTGAGCCAGCTTCAGGTGCCCGCGCAAGTATTCTCAGGCAGGATTATTTACCAGAGGGCACAGTCAGTCAAGCCCGAGCAGCAGATGTCCCTGGGCCTACTGACACATCATCTGTATCTCCATCTTATGGTCAAAATCTAGGAAGAAAAAGGAAAATGAAAATGTACAACAAATCCTCAACAACTCCTGCTTCCAATTCCACTGAAAGAGATACAGTTTAGATCAAGAAGATGATTTAAGTGAAGATTTAGATCAAGATTTGAAAAAGTTAAGTGGATATGAACTTGACAAGAAGATTGGAAACCCTCACCCTTTTATTGATCCTCAAAAGAGAAAACCAATTAAGGAGCCTCTTACAAGTGAAGAGTTGTGGTGGAATTGGCAGAGAAAAACGCCAGATAAAGAAATTATTGTGAAATTACTTATATACCCTTATTGTTTGACTTCAGGTGTTTTTCAAGGCCATGGAAGAAACTTGTCAAATTAAGCTTTTTGGTGAAGAGCCAACTTTGACTGAAACTGCTCTTTACAGAGCTAGAAAGCATTTATATAAAGAATAAAAGTATAGAATCATGAATTCCATTCCATTACTTTTGTGATTCCATTCCAATGAATGATGCAGGCTGCAGGCTGAACGTGAGAGATTGCAAAAAGAAGGTCCATTAGCATACTATTCAGAATGGGTTAAAGCATAGAAAAATGACACATCACGTGAAGCTATTGAAAAACATTTTGAAGAAACTGGAGAAGATGAAAACACACAGCTTATAGAAATGTTTTCATGTCAAACTGTTGCTGAATATCGCATAATGATGGGAACTGATCATTAGATTTCAAGAGATCCATTGGCTATGAGGATGAGAGAAGATCAAATTAAGCAAAGTAAGTTTTTCAATTATTAAGTTAATGCATAATTAAACTTTTGACATATTTGCCCTTTGTTTTGTAGTATGGGGTGGAGATTCGGTTTATCCAACAGTGAATTATATCCAAGATCCAGATCAAGTGATTGATTTCAGAGGTCCTGATTTTCATGAACCTACACCTAATATTTTAGCTTATTTGCAAGAGGTTAGTAAATTTCACTTTAAAAAAAAATATTCTTCCGTGTATAATTTGTCTTTTATTAAGCTAACAATTACTTTTGTATTATTGATCAGAATGGGAATACAACATCAAAGGAGGAAATTGATAAAATATTGGCCTCAGAGAAGGTTAAAAAAGTAAAGGTAATTGATCAGAATATTGGCCTCAGAGAAGGTTACTTTTGTATTATTGATCAGAATGGGAATATAACCGGTGTCTGATGATGAAGCTATGGCTAAAACTGTTGACATAGGTGAAAAGGAGGTAGTTTATTGTGCCATGAGTGTTTTTATTGTTATAATTGTAAATATAATTATTATTATAATAATAATAATATTGTTGTTATGTATTTCCTTTTAATAGGATAGTGATGATGAGGGAAAATTTGAGGACGATGAAAATATTACACGCAATTGGAGTGTATGGAAAACTACTCCCGAGCTTCGCAAATCAAAGGTAATCATTGATTTCTTGTCAGAGAAAGATATTGAAAAAAATAAAAGAAGCACATGCTGAAGATGAAGGTATTCACTGATTTCTTGTCAGAGAAAAATAAAAGAAGCACATGTTGAATAATAGCAAAATGCTTTTATTTCCTTACCAATAATAGTGATATGCAACATGAAATTTAGTAAGCACTTTACAAGTTTGAGGTTATTTATTGCTATAATCAGTTAAGAAATATGAGCACATTGCTAATTTTCTATTATGTTTAAAAAAATACGTTGCTATTACAATTAAACATAAAATACATTGCTTCTATTGTAGCATGAGTAAAATACATGTCATTATTATTTATCTCAATTATTAATTAATATTCACTTTTTTGGTAACTATTACTATTTTAACAGTTTATAAAAACTTATAGTGAATGTGTTAATGTCTTTTTTAATTTTTAGCTTGTATTTAATATGTTTATGCTGCAGTTTTTTCTACTGTCATTTTTTTACATTATTGTTATTTTTATGGTTCGGTAGGTTAAAGAAACACGAGACATACAGTGAGCCAATAAAAGCCAAAGAAGAACTTATATTTCATGTTGGCTTCAGGCAGTTTGTCACAAGGTAGCATCTGTCTCCTTTTTATGATTTTTTTTCAACTACCTTTCAACTACTTAAAATATCTATGTACTTGTGTCCTTTGTATGATTTTGATATAATATAATTCATATGATCATATCTTGACCAGAAATTAAAAAATTTACAGGCCGACTTTTGCAACTGACAGATTTAATTTAGAGAAACACAAAATGGAAAGATTTCTTCATGCAGGACGCTTTTCTATTGCTTTAGTATATGCTCCAATCACTTTTCCTCCTCTTCCATTAAATGTTATGAAGAGTATAGGTGATTTTTCCACACCTGCCCTTGCTGCTATTGGCTCATTAAAACGTATTGATCCTGATAAAAATTTTCTGAAAAACATCAATGTTGACTGGGTAAGATACAATTCATATATATATATATATATATATATATATATATATATATATATATATATATATATTCTGAGTTAAAGTTGGGGATACTTGAGAGAAATAGCAACATACTTTTATTTGTTTTTTTATATCTGCCTATTACATCATTATATTTTCATTTTTTCTCATTAAGGCATTGTACGTCAATTTTTTATATATGTGTTATTGCTATAACATAAGTACATTGCTATTTTATGCATTTAATCCTTAATTTTTATGGCGTTGAAATGAAAATAGTTTTGCACCCTCCATACCTCTAAAATTGTAACAAGCTCTTGCACCAACTTTGTAAAGTCTATTGAAGGTTGTCAAATGACTAAAATAACCTTCCACAATGACGAAATAAGAGCGGGTTGTTTTTATAGTTTGTATAGTATTATTGGGTTGAAAGATTTTGTGTTATTTATTGTGCTTAATGTAGATATCCTCAACGTGTTTCAAAGTCAAAAGTTGCAGTAAGATATATGTTTCATAGCCCTGAGGATGTCAAATGGTTCAAGGTACATGCATGTACATTTATTTGCAGTAGTCAATGATAATTTTTTTTTAAAAATTGCTAGCCCAAATAGGTGGGATAGAGACTTGCTCTTGATCTCGTATGTCTGTAAAAGACGTAAATGTCCTTCGCATAATAAAATTAAAGCCTTTTTGATGTTATTTAATAATTTAAATGCACCCCATGGAAGTTTGGACAAAATTGGGTCGCCGTGGACTTATTAAAGATCCCGTTTGTACGCATGGTATGTTCCTTTTGATATTGATATAATTTAGTAGAAGTTTCAAAAATACATTTATACAATAGTAAGAAATGAAAGTAGGATGTGATGATGAACAAACTACATATAAATTAGATTGTTATACTTTATGTTATCTATTTTTGTAGGTGCGATGAAATGCATATTAAACGGTGTCCTTCAACAAAATGACACGGTGTGCATGAGTCTATTCAAGCAAACATACCCCAAATGGCCCCAACATTGGTTCCTGATGTCAATTTGATTTATTAGATGTGTGAGTGTCAGTCACGTTCATAAAGGTCCTCCTCCTCTGTCTTTACTTTATAGTTACAGAGAGAATGACAACTTCCAACACAACCATGGGAATGAAGCTTTGGTTCAAATTGTTTTCCTGCTCTACTAATCATAGCGGGTGAGAAAAAAAAGTTTTGCTTGTATATATGTACTGTAATCTCTTTATTGTATGTGGTTTCAAAACTAAAACAAAATTTGGATAATAGTGTTTACGGATTATGATTGATTTCTGTAAGTTGGGTGGTTTTGAGGTTCAAAATCGATTGTAATTGAATGGTTTATAATTTATTTGTTTAGACGTTCTTTTACTTTTAGGTTATTTTTTCTTACATGGATTGGTCATTGGTGTAATACTTTACGATCATCATAACATGTAACTTCAACTTCATACGTGATATGTGACGAGACTTGACATACAATAATCGATACAGATTCTAAATGACAAGCTATACTAACCAATTTAGATTTATAGATTACCAGTTCTACACAACAACAAACTATTACCTCCTCTGTCTTTACTTTATAGTTACAGAGAGAAGGACAACTTCCAACACAACCATGGGAATGAAGCTTTGGTTCAAATTGTTTTCCTGCTCTACTAATCATAGCGGGTGAGAAAAAAAAGTTTTGCTTGTATATATGTACTGTAATCTCTTTATTGTATGTGGTTTCAAAACTAAAACAAAATTTGGATAATAGTGTTTACGTATTATGATTGATTTCTGTAAGTTGGGTGGTTTTGAGGTTCAAAATTGATTGTAATTGAATGGTTTATAATTTATTTGTTTAGACGTTCTTTTACTTTTAGGTTATTTTTTCTTACATGGATTGGTCATTGGTGTAATACTTTACGATCATCATAACATGTAACTTCAACTTCATACGTGATATGTGACGAGACTTGACATACAATAATCGATACAGATTCTAAATGACAAGCTATACTAACCAATTTAGATTTATAGATTACCAGTTCTACACAACAACAAACTATTACCTCCTCTGTCTTTACTTTATAGTTACAGAGAGAAGGACAACTTCCAACACAACCATGGGAATGAAGCTTTGGTTCAAATTGTTTTCCTGCTCTGCTAATCATAGCGGGTGAGAAAAAAAAGTTTTGCTTGTATATATATACTGTAATCTCTTTATTGTATGTGGTTTCAAAACTAAAACAAAATTTGGATAATAGTGTTTACAGATTATGATTGATTTTTGTAAGTTGGGTGGTTTTGAGGTTCAAAATCGATTGTAATTGAATGGTTTATAATTTATTTGTTTAGACGTTCTTTTACTTTTAGGTTATTTTTTCTTACATGGATTGGTCATTGGTGTAATACTTTACGATCATCATAACATGTAACTTCAACTTCATACGTGATATGTGACGAGACTTGACATACAATAATCGATACAGATTCTAAATGACAAGCTATACTAACCAATTTAGATTTATAGATTACCAGTTCTACACAACAACAAACTATTACCTCCTCTGTCTTTACTTTATAGTTACAGAGAGAAGGACAACTTCCAACACAACCATGGGAATGAAGCTTTGGTTCAAATTGTTTTCCTGCTCTGCTAATCATAGCGGGTGAGAAAAAAAAGTTTTGCTTGTATATATATACTGTAATCTCTTTATTGTATGTGGTTTCAAAACTAAAACAAAATTTGGATAATAGTGTTTACGGATTATGATTGATTTTTGTAAGTTGGGTGGTTTTGAGGTTCAAAATCGATTGTAATTGAATGGTTTATAATTTATTTGTTTAGACGTTCTTTTACTTTTAGGTTATTTTTTCTTACATGGATTGGTCATTGGTGTAATACTTTACGATCATCATAACATGTAACTTCAACTTCAGACGTGATATGTGACGAGACTTGACATACAATAATCGATACAGATTCTAAATGACAAGCTATACTAACCAATTTAGATTTATAGATTACCAGTTCTACACAACAACAAACTATTTTTTAGTGTCACCATCAAATCTAATATAGATTTTGGGACTAATAAACTTCTCTTATTTGATTTTGGGACTTTCTATATTATTTCAGTTCATTTCATTGAAAGCAAGAAAAATAAACTACAATGTATAATTTTTCAACCCTTGGTGTGAGACCCGTGTACTACACATGTTTATTAAAAGGACCAAAAGTAACGATGTGAGCAAAAAATGACCATTCACGCAAGTTTTGGTAACCACAAGGACCATGTTCATAATAACGACTGAGTTTGTAACATTTGGTAACCACAAGGACCATGTTCATAGTATAGACCATTTATGTAATTTGGTCTTATTTTAATAAATACTAATAAAATTAATTAATATGAATTTACAAATGGAATGTTACTATCTACATTTATATGCATTAATTAATATATTAATAGAAAGAGGAATTCATAAATAGAAGGTTATTATGTACATTAATTAATATATTAATAAAATTAGTTAATATTAGGTTGCATTTAATAAAATTAATTAATATATTAATAAAATTAATATATTAATAAAATTAGTTAATATTAATTAATATACTCTTACTTTTTGTTCCTACAAATCTTCCTACCCAATTAAATGATGGCATGTGTCACATTTAATGCTCATTTAATGATATTTTAGTATACTAAAATGACACATGTCATCATTTAATTGGATAGTAAGATTTGTAGGACCAAAAGTAGCAGAATATTTAATTTTTCTAAAAAAAACTATAAATTGCAACATAGACAACTATTTATAGTAGTTATACCTTATAATTAAAGTTATTAACATAATTAGCTCAAATTACATTGAATCATTGTGAGCAGGTTACATTTTTTAAAGCCCGATGGTTATTTCTCGATATATGATTGTATCCTCTAATACATACTTTCAGAAATTACATAAGAATTGATTTGTTTACAACATAAAAACAACAATGATTTTGTTTTACAACATAAAAAACTATTTAATATCACTACATAATAAAAAACAATGATTTTGTCCGTAAATTTTAAAAACCATAAATTAGCAAGGAATCGGTATAAGGTATATTTTATTTTAAACATGAAATTACTTTAATACATATCAAAATTAGGTGTAAGACCCGCGCTGTCATCGTAAGACTTTGTTTGTATTATATTTTAGGTATATTATTTTAGTTTATTTTATTAATGATATGTTATTTTCTTTGTAGTGATCTGCTTAAGCATCAGGTGGACTATGATTACTTCCACCTAGAATTGTTTGCTTCTACTACATGAGAATTGAGGGAGCTTCGTAGTATTCGGTTACCATCTTCTATTTATACTGTTTCGGATGAGGCAATTATAAGTGGATGTTTGGTTTACTTCTTATTGTCTAATAATGACATTTTGCGATTCGATGTATATTCCGAAGAATATTCAGTGATATATGCACATTATATTATTAATGATTTCAACTTGTATGCATCGAGACTTATCAAGTTTGACGGAAAATTGAGATATTTTTCAATAAGTGGA